GAGGTGGAGGCAGATTAGCTTGTTTTGAAAAGACACTATTTTGGGGAAACAGGCTGGCACTTACTGAGAATCTACCAGAAGACATCGTAAGAAAAATCAACAACACATGGACTAGCAGATTAAACAGTTCAACTCCGAGTTTTATCAGTGCCCCTCAAGGCCTCCACAACCAACCCCATCCCCCAGAGTCAACTGCACTGGCCGCATAGGGTGCCTGTCCCCACACTGTGTGGAAGGAGAAGGTGGACACATGCCTGTGCTGAGGGCAGAGCAGAGTGTTGCTCATCCCAGGGAAGAGGATTTTGCAAAGATGTCACATTTAAGACAAGGATGAAGACAGGAGCACTGCTCAGAAGCCCCAGCCACCAGTGTAAAGGAAGTTAATGTAAAAGCCAAAGGGAATATATGAGCTAAACTCTACCTTGGAACTTCCCCAGTGGACACAGCCTGCTCTCCCCAGACCTCTGCTTTCTTTGACGTACACCTTACCAGGGAACAACGAACTCCTACCCTTGCAGGCACTTCCAAAACTAGCAACATGGTTTGACTCAAAAACCCAAAAGAGCCATGAACCTGCAGAGTCCATGTTCCCCTCCGCAGGAATTCAGATGCTCTAGCATAGCTCTGGAGGCAACTTATTGAGTTTGTTCTTGTAAATGAGAGAAAAGTCATAGAGAAAGCCCTTAACTGGGACAGAAACTGGCCAACTTCCCATGCAAGCTACACTGATATGACACCTCTAGAACAGGACTGAGTGATCTACACGTTCAGCAAGAAAAACTTCTGTCGAGCCCTACAGAAATCCTGTATGCTCAGGCTAATGCAGTTTGACACCTTACATCACCTGCTTACTTAAACTATGACTCTGGCACTGTTTAGCCCATGCCTAAGCCTCTTGCCAAAGGCTCTGCCTGTGCTGCTGGGGCTGGCTGAGCTGGAGGAGAGAGGTGGAAGGGCTGAAACTCTTGTCAGCTCTGTTAACACAAATTGGCACCCAACCTGCTGAGTCTACTCCAGCTGCTGGAGACAGAGGATGGACAGATGCACTTTAACCATGCCTAGGAATCTGCCAAGATGCAACCCATGCCAGGAAGTGCACACAGGCTCAAAGGATGTGGCTGGGTGTGCTGGGAAAACTCAAACACAAACCAGTTGTACGCTGCAATGCAGGGAGGGAGCCAGGGAGCTGCAGAGCTGCCAGCTTGAACCTCCCCATCACACTGACTCAGGAGGAGCTGCTGTTCTCACATCACAACCTGCACAAGCCAAAAAGCCCACTGCACCTACCTTGCCCAGGGCGATGGAGCAAGCAGCCAGGCCAATGAGTCCCCCTTTCCGGCTGTGGGGGTGCTGGGAGAGGGCAAACTCCTGAGACAGGATCTGGATCACGTGTTTGATTTGAGATGTGTTGTTCTGGGCCACAAACTCTCGCACCAGCCTAGGGAGAAGAGAAGAAAGCACACAGTGGGGGTTTAGGTTCTGTCTGATACAAACACTGAGGGGCTCAGATCCCTACAGGTGTCAGAAACAGACTTTCAGCCACAATAAAAACCAGAGAAAGCAGTACTGAAATGGGCAATACCGAAGGAACCCACAAGTGAAACCAGAGCTCTTCCCTCCTCCCCACTCACGTCCAACAGCAGCTCACTGCCCTCACGCTGCTCTAGCCTGCAGCCTCCGACACTGTTCACAAACTCCCAGCCCAGGATGGGCTCTCAAGGGCCACCCAACTGCAGTTGTGCACTTGCAGAGAAGTTACCAAGTCTACAAACACCCTCTCCAACAGGACAGGTTATGGAGGTCATTTACCCCCAGCACAACACAGGACAGCAGCAGAGAGGAGCACAGCATGCACCCAGAGCACTGGTGGCTCAGTAGGAAATTGCTGCCCATCAGACCCACATGCAGTGCTGAGATTTTGGACCTTTCTGGTCACCCACTCATTGCTTCAGCTGATATCCCACATATTTAATTGTACTACTAACACTATCTTTAAATACACTCTTAAACAGCACAAGCCTTAACAAAAAACCAACCCAGTATCTATATGCAATACTGCTCCTCCCCAGGAACTCACAGCTCTTTAGGCAAAGACAATTAACACATCAGCCATGCTTAAATGGAGACCCATATCCTGCTCCATCCTGTGGAACTGCTTCCAGGTCGCAGCTCAGCTGTCCAGCCCTTCAGCCCTGGTTTCCCTGCAGCAGAACCACTGGCAGGCAGGGAGGTGTGGGCAGCTGTGCACACAGCTGTGCACACTGCAGCATTGGTGGTTCAGTGGTAGAATTCTCGCCTGCCACGCGGGAGGCCCGGGTTCGATTCCCGGCCAATGCAGCACTGATTTTCCTCCTTTTTTCTTGGATTTCTATCCATAATGCAGACCCAGATGCCCCAAAATCTCAGCCTAAAATAATCATCTTTACCTTAAGTGTCAGGAAGGGTGCAAAAGCTTTCACTGCTTAACTCCATACAGGGTTTCTTTAGCACTACATGGACCTCACGTTGCCCTCTCCCAAAGAGGTGACAATGGCCAGTCATGCACTTTATAATGCAGGAAAATCACAATAGAAGATGTCTATGAACTTTCCCCCTCAGAATTACGAACACCAGCTCTGCTCTCACTTTGATCTAAGCAAAGCAGCTGTCTCCTTTCTCCCTGGGGGCACCAGGTACACTCCCTAACTCTCCCTACTCCGAAGTCAAGTTCTCCAACACTTACAGCCCAATTCGCTGTCACAAACTGCTCCTTCAGGGAAAATGGCTCCATCTCCAGTCCTGCTCCAAAAGGAGGAACATAGCAAGCTCCAGCAAGACAGACCACTGGGGTGATCATTTTACTGCCTACATTTCACGGATGGAGAACTTCATTTGAACAGGAATAAGCTTACAGACTTCATGAGTTTGAACGGATCAAGATTTAATCAATGAGGCAAAACGGCATGAAAAGCAAAGAGCCTGCAAGCAGCAGAAGCTGCTCCTGCATGACCAGCCAGAGGAAGAGGAGGTTCCTGAGTCAAGCAGCAGCAAGTCCCTCCTGGCTCAAAGCCACGGACATGGGAGAGATGCTGCCGGGGGCTGTTCTGTGATGGGTTTTAGATGATCCAAACCTGTGTATCTGTGGGAAAGGCCAGCCCTTGCCTTATTCCTCTTCATACCCTTCCTAAATTGTGTTTCAAGCTCCATCAGCTGAACTGTCTGACCCTACAGGAGACTTTGGTTGGTATAAACCAACCACAAACTCTGAATCTGGGACAGAGTAAGTCAGAGCAGAGCTGCTTGAATAAAACAAGAAGTATCACTTCTCACAGAGCAGCAAAGGGGCAGGTACTCAAGTACCCCCAAGGCTGGAGTTATGGACTTACTTCCTATAACAAAGAGAAAAAAGGAGGGAAAGGTAAACACATGGAACAGCACAAGGGACACACTGGGTTGGGTTTGTACTGGAGCAAACACTCACCCCATCCCAAGAGCCATTTTTCTGTGCTGTCCACGTACACTCTCCCTCACAGGACCCTCTGTATCCAAGGCAAGCAGTACCCACCCCACATCCCACCAAAGCCTCAGCAGAGCAGCTCCATCCCCACATCACCAGCTGCCATGAGTGGCTGGCTGCTCCCCTTGCAGGCTCACTAGGGCCACATCTCCCACTCAAAAGTCACCCACCAGCTTGGGTCATTGCTCCCAGCCCTACACTGGGCTGTACTCTGAGGTGATGCTTTGGATCTCTTCTGGGAGCTGAGCTCTCAGGCAGTGCCACAGTCCTTCCCAGGCAAAGCTGTGGCTCAGCACAGCACACAGACCAGTGCAGTGAGGGTGAGAAGATGTACAGGGAACACATATAGGCAACACTCAAGGGGCACAGTCATGCCAGTGGGTGCCAGCAAATCTTTGCCTGGGATGCTCTAAAAGGAGGGCCTGGGCTCTGCTGGAACAGCAGCTGTGCAGGACGAACCAAAGGCAACACCTGATGGCTGGGGGTGACAGTGGGCACTTCCCACCTCTCTATCCAGGACTCAGAGTGTGACAAGCTTGGGTGAGCCCTCAGGGGAGAGGTGGCATGGCACCACAAGGTGAAGAACCCAGATTGACATGACGTGGGCCTTACATGACGGGCACAGTTGGCACTGCTGCCTCCACTGTGGTTCCTGCCACTGCCCAGTGAGACTTGTGTCTGGAGAAGTCTCCCAGCCACAGCCAGGGCAGGGCAGGGCACAGAGCTGGCCACATCACAGAAGAGCATGCAGTGTATTTCCAAGGAATTCCTACAGTGATGCCACTCACACATTCACCTTGCACAGGGCTACACAACAGCTCTGGGGACCCACTGACACACCAAGCCTTCTGCCAGGGGCTTGTGGGCACAACCCTGCCCAGAGACACATGCCCAGAGCCAGTGGGTCCTCACTGGCATCCAGGAGTCAATGCACTCAGGAGTAAACTTCAGTGCCCAGTGGAACTGGGCTGGGAGACAGGAAGCAGCTCTGGGAGAGATCCCTCCTGCCGGGAACCGCCCAGGGCACTGTCAGGGTCACCGTGTAACTTCAGCTCTTTCCCGGGGCTGCCGGTCCTGCTGAGTCCCAGACCCGCGGCAGTGATACCCCGGTTCTCCCGGGGGCACCCCTTCCCGCGAAGCCCCCAGCTCCCACTGGGGTCCCGCAGGTTCCCCTGGGATGATCC